GCCTAAGCAAGAGTGAGACCCCCGCCTCTACCAAAAATAGAAAAATTAACCAGGTGTGGTGGGGCATGCTAGTAGTCCCAGATACTTGGGAGGCTGAGGAAGGAGGATTGCTTGAGTTCAAGAGTTCGAAGTTGCTGTGAGATATGATGACACCACGACTCTACCCAGGGTGACAGAGTGAGACTGCCTTTAAGAAAGAAAAAAAAGGTGAAGCACTGCTGCGTGCTTCAATGTACATAAACCGCGAAACCATCCTCATGCCAAGGAGACACAGAGGCCAATGTATGGTTCTACTTATATGGACTATCTATGACAGGACATTCCTAGAGACAGAAAGTACATGAAAAGCTACTACAGCTGGGGGCAGTACCTGTGGCTCAGTGGGTAGGTTGGCAGCCCCATATACGGAGGGTAGCAGGTTCAAACCCAGCCCTGGCCAAAATGCAACAAAAAAAAGCCAGGCGTTGTGGCAGGTGTCTGTAGTCCCAGTTACTCAGGAGGCTGAGGCAAGAGAATCGCCTAAGCGCACAAGCTGGAGGTTGCTGTGAGCTATGACACCACAGCACTCTATTAAAGGTATTAACGTGAGACTCGGTCTCAAAAAAAAAAAAAAAAGAAAGAAAGAAAAGAATGAAAGAAAGAAATCCTACTACAGCTGGGGGAAGTTTCTTTCAAGATGACAAAAATATTCTAAAATCAAGATGATAAAAATATTCTAAAATAAAATAGTAAAGAGGGTTACAAAATTCTGTGAATTGAGTGAAAACAGTGAGTTGTGTACTTTTAAAAATAACTTTAATGATGAACTATTATATCTCAGTAAAACATTATTTAAAAAAAAAAGAAAGAAAAAACGTCCCTGCCCTTGGTCCACATACAAAAATCACAGAGAATAAAAGAGATACGAAGGAAGAGAACCCAGGAACCCCTGCTCCCTGGGAGCTGGCTCTCAGTGCTGGGACCCTGCAGCCACACCTCGGTGTGGGTCCTGAGACCCAGTGCTCTGTCCAGGAACCTTCTCTGCATCTCAGGCTCTTTGTCCTTGTGAGGGAGACCGTGAAGTGTGCACTGCCTCTGGTGAAGATGGTGCTGCTGAGGCCTAGGAGACCCGCAGTGACTGAGCACTTCAATAAAGAGAGAAATTCACCAACTTGGCAAGTTCTTCCTCCCGGTTTGCATGCAAGAGATTCTTGGACAACAAACTTTCACTCTCAATGTTACCAAGCATCTGTTTTTTTATTTCCTTTATGTTCTAGTCAGTGCTTCTGAAAGCTCTCACAAATTAAAAAAGTATTTGGAAGAGTTTCACCTGGATGAAAAAATTTTTTCAGTATTAAGGGTTATGGGTTGAAGTATGTCTCCCCAAATCCATATGTTGAAGACCTCCTAATCCTCCATACCTCAGAAGGTGATTTTATTTGGAAACAGGGCTTTTACAAAGGCAATCAAGTTAAAAAGAGGTCGTCAGAGGGGGTCCTAATACAACATGACTGGTGTCCTTATTAAAGGAGGAGATTTGGGGACACACACTCAAGAACACCATGTGGACATCCAGGCAGACCTTCGTTGACATAGCAATGAACATCAAACAATGTAAGCAAATCTCTAGAAGAGGAGAGAAATCCCTCCTGGCCTCCATCAGAAGGAACCGACCCTGCCAATACTGTGACCTTGGACTCCCAGCCTCCAGAACTTCCAGACTCCACGTTTCTGCTGTGTCAGCTGTGCAGTTTGTGGTGCTTTGTTACAGTGGCCCAAGAAAGTGAATAAATTAAAGAGTTCAAATTACTCTTAAATTTGTACTTACGTAGGGTAACATGGAAAGCATGATACTCATTTACAAGACAAAATTATAATATTTTGTTATATAGAGGGCATACCCAAAAATGTATACATATTTTAAGGAAAAATTATATTAAAACTGTAATACTCTAGTCACATTTGACTTTTGCAATTGCAAGAGATACAAGATACTTACACAAGTTAGCAAAGGTTATCAGTACATGTTGAGTATTATAACTTTAATACAGTTTTTTTTCCTTTCTTAAAATCTGTATACACTTTTTGGACACCCTCTGTGTATTCTGCAATAATGAATATTTGTCATATATGGTCCCGTGTCAATGTCTGAATACGGTACATAAAATTCTAAGTTCATTTTCAGACTTAAGTATCACTTTGGGAATTTTATTGGTAACTATAGTTGCTTCTGGCTCAAGACAGTGAAGTTTCTCCAAGTTAAATTCGTTTTAGATAGTAAGAATTGCAATGACTCAATAAATTTTGTCTGATTTTGCATTGTTGTCAATAGAATTCATACTGTAAAAATCTTGTATAAAACAACATAGGTAGCCATGAGCCAAAAAGAATTCTTAAAGAAATAGTGTATGACAATCTATGAATTATATACTATATCTCTGGTCTATAAACAGAATGTCCAGACATGCATAAGTAGTCATTCTGGATAGTTCCCGGTTTTCAGTCATTCATAAAAGCATAATTTTTTAAAATTTTGTCTTTATGAAGGTATATTTGTCAGCATGAGAGGATGGAGCACATTTTATTTAACCATTTTGCTAGCTTGATTTATAACTTTGAAATATTTAGACGGGCCTCAGGCTCTGTAACTGGCAGGGGTGGGCCAGGACTCAGCAATGACAGAAGAAACAAAGCCTAAAGCTATGAACAGAAACCAAACAAAAATCTCAAAAATCTCCAACTTGCTCCTACTATAAACTCAAATGCCATCCTGATAGCTTCCCATGAAACCTAATGCTGTCAGTCCCTTAGAGACAGTGACTAGTGCTGTGTGGGTCACAGTCCCAAGGGCCCTACCAGCCAGGCAGGAGTCACAAAGCCCTGTTGCCTTGAGTGGCCCTCAGCTCTCCCAGGTTCCATGCTCCTAGGACCTTACTCTGTCTTGATGTTCTGCATGTTAGAGCTGTGACATGGGTGTTCCTTTTATTTCCTCTTCAGTAACCTCAGGGCCACTTTCAAGTAAACAGAACAATTTATAACTGTACTCTACTCCTCTTTTGAAAAAAAGTAGTTTAAAATTTGACAAAAGGCCTGCAGAGGGATCCTCAGTGAGGGGGTATGCGCTAGGGCTACTACTCTGTCACCTTCTGCCTGTCCCCTGGCAATGAGGGTTGGCTGCTTACTGAGGGCTGGGAACTAGGAGGGACAAGTACTGGCCTTCTACCTGGGAGTTAGTCTTAGAGACAGGGTGAGTGGTAGCGTTGGAAGAGGAGGAAAAAAGCAAGAAACACCCCTGGTTGCTATGGGAAAGGGAAAAAAGGTATCCAAACAGCAACTAGGAGTGCCAACAAGTGGATAGAGACCACCAAAGGCCCAGGCAACACGGACTATATTTTAGTGTGGCAACTATGTATCTCACACTGTTGCTTACTGAGGCTGAGGCGGTGGGTCATCAGACGGCAGCATAAAATACAGGTGCCTGACATCAAAGGAACCTTTAGCTGTGGCTGAGCACCTTAAAGGGATTTCAATGCCCTCTCTATAGGTATCAGTTCACAAATACAGCATATTACCTTTGTATAAAAACCATTACAGCATTGGACTGGCTTTATCAGAAAGATGGCAGCCAAGTTAGAAGAAAGGACATAGATGTGTTTAAAAGTAATTTTCATAATAAGGAGAACTCTGATGCAAATTCCACAGGCTACGAGTCACAACCCAGCACTTAATAGTGAGGGCAGACTAGTGAACCACATTAATCACCCCGGGATATAGATTATTAGCCACATTAGAAACACAGATTAATAGGAACAAATAAGGTATCAGGTGAGAGGCATTTTACAGCAAGTAACAAAAGTTTTAATCTCTGTTTAAATAAGACTTCAAAAGGATTCCATATATAACCAAGGGGGAGACCATTTAATTAAAAAAAAAAAAAGATTAGCTTCAAGAAATGCTCAACAAAGTGACCAAACTTGTGACCTGGTTTAAGGTCAATCAACATTTCCTACCTGGATAAGTAGAATGCAGTTAGCACTTGGGTGATTTTAAAGACTTCTACAGCTGCCTTTAAATGGTTGATGAAACAGCAGAATAGTGCGGCTGAAGGCCAATGTTGATTTTTACCCATTACCTATTTTATTGATGAGACTGTGAGCCGCTGGGCCTCCAGGCACACACCAATGTATTAAAACACCCCACGCTGCAATTACGTGGCAAAGAGGGGATGGGGCTGTTATATTTACCTTGGGAATAGTCTAGGTCAGACAGTTTGAATTTTACTTTAGAAGTCTCCAGAATATGGAAAACATTTTCTTAGGGAGCAAGAGTTTTAATAAATGGGTCTTTCCACCAAAATAAAAATATAAATAAAATAAAATGCCCCAAGTAGATACTCTTAGAAAGAAAGACATGGATTTCTTAGTCAGAACAAGGGACAAATGCACCAATTAAAATGTTGGTGAAAGAAATGGGAACTTCAGACTTCATTAAGAAGGGACTTGAAAAAAATCAAACTTCTACATCACTCTCAATCCAAGCAGGGACTTTCCTCCCCAGTGTAAGTTAGAACTTGTGCCTCTGAGTTCTTTAAAGGGAGTGAAAAATGAAGCGATCACCTAATTGTCCTGATAGATAATCAAAGCTTCAGAAATGCTGCCAGAAACAGAGCACAGGCTCTGAGCGGAGAGGAAGAGCCCCGGCCAGCGCTCTGCTATTTCGTGTCTCATTCCAACAAACCCATTGTTGCCACTGCATATTAGATTCCTTTTAAAATAGTAAATAGAACAAGATTTTTCCTTTGATCATTCAGCATCAACTCCCTTAGGCTCGACACTACTGCCAATGCTGGTCTTCTATGAATTGTCAGGGAAGAGAAAATGGATGGAAGGAGGGCAGGGCAACATGGAGTGACATCTGGAAACTCCGTGCTTTGGTCCAAGCTGAGGACAACTTTCCCTTTGCCCTAGAAAGCTCTGGTGAAACACTCAGGAAGGACAGGAGGAGACACACAAAGTACTCACGAGTATCCAGGACTTGCAGTGGGAGGGGGGCCTGAAGAAAAGAAAGAAAAACAAGACACGGTCAGCCTTGGTTGTTGCAGGGTGAGCGTGAGTGCAGTCAGACCATTACGAGTTAAAGTGCTCAACCACCCTGGGGTGAGATTTATTTTTCTGGAATTTATTGTTTTGTTCCAGTTTTCCCCAACCTTCTTTAAGGGAGAAAAAAAAGAAAGAAAGAAAGAAAGAAAAAGAAAAAACCCAGTAACACACCAGTAAGAGTACCTCACAGTATAGGGCCTAGAAAGTGCTAAGACTGGGGAGGCTGGAAAATGATCCACAGAGCGGCACCCTCAAAGTCCTCAGGGCTTTCCAGCGGGAGGCTGAGCAGCCCAGGAGGGTCAACTGCAAGCTGGGAGGGTTGGGTGGGGGACCTCCTTCCAGTCTGTCGTGGACGCTGGACAGAAAAGGCCATGCACGCGACAAACATTCCCAACTCCTCCGGCAGCCGAGCCTCCTTGCTGAGCGGAGGTCATGATGCTTTGCACTCAGGGAACGTGGGGTCAGAGAGCTCTGGACTCCACTCCTGCCCTGTTGTTTACTAATTTGTAAGAAGGGTACAGTGTGAGCCAGCTTTGGGCTAAGGGTGAAAAGCACATTCTAGTTGGTGGTATCCCCTCCTTCCCCAAATCTCGCCTTCCCAGCATGGTGGGCAGGGGCGCAGCCACCCGCTGGAGCTGCCTACCGAACTTGACGAACAGGACTCCGGTGGTGGAGACCACCTTCTTGCCATTTGTCGCCACGCACTGGAAGTAGCCGGTGTCCGTGGTGTCGAGGTTTCTGATCCGCAGCCGAGAGCCGTAACTGGTGGCGCGGAAGGAGATTCTGCGGGGCTCCTGCACCACTGGGGCGTCGTTTTTGAACCAGCGGATGGTAGGAGGGGGGTTCCCAGAGACTCTGCAGTGCAGCTCCGCGGTTTGGCCCAGGGACGTGGTGATGTTATTCATTGGTTCATCCAGAACCAGGTAAGAATCTGTGAGCACATGGGAGAAGGGGGCAGGTGAGAAGGACGGGCAGCTGGAGAGCTCCCGGACAGACCACATCCTCGCAGCGCGCACGGGGTCCCCGCAGACAGATAAGGGGTTCCCGCAGAGGCTGGTGAGTGCTGGACAAGCACCCACAAAGCCGCTGATGGGACGGAAATTTGCTACTGTTCAAAATACACAACCCAAGGTCTTCCAATGACTGCACAGCACCCAAGGATATGCGTACTTTCTCTGTTAAGACAAAAATGAGTTTTTGTGCCTCAGATAATAAAAATAATGCTGCACACTCCTTGTTACAAATTCCAATATAGGAAGGGGGGGGGGCGGACATTCACTTCAAATCTCTCCACCCTAAGATAACACTACCCTTAGTCTTCTGGCAAACATCCTTTCAGCTTGTCCACTTTTGACAAGAAAGAAAGAAAAACTGAAAAGGCAAGAGAATACATTTGTAGCCATATGGCACAAGAATGCTGGGAAAATTCTTGTTAGTGATGACAAAGGTTACAAAGCCCAGGTCACTGGGCAGTGGCCATTTCCATATTCTTACTCATTTCCACCACAGCATGTTACAGTATGAAATTTATTCAATTGTATCTGATACGGTGCACATATGAGCACAGATATTAGCCATACAGTCCAGTGGGTTTTGACAACTACATCTACCCAGCAAGTCAATCCCCTATCTTGACAGAACGTCAGTACCCCTAGCTCACCCCAACCCCCCTTGGCAGTCTGTCTCTGCTCTCAACCACTCCCCCAACCCACACTCAGGCAACTATCGTTCTGATTTCTAACATCGCAGATGGATGTTACCTGTTCCAGAACCTCAGATGACCGGTATCAGGCTGCATGTACATTTTGCATTTGGCTGCTTTAGTATTTTTTGCAGTACAAACTATAATAAAGTTTTCTTTCAGCGTTTTCTTCCATACTGTTTAAACATCATATTAATATTAGTCACAGAATTCACTTACAAAAAAAATTTTTGTAATTCAATTTTTAAAAAATTGCTGTTATTCACATATATAGAGTTTTCTTTGGTTTCGTTTCCCAAGCATTCTTGGGTAGATCCCGCACAATACCCTCCCAGTGCTCTCTGTCCTTCCCCAGTCCCCGACCTGGGACGACTGGTTCAGCAGGGTCTTCAACAAAGGGTTTTGGGCCCTGGGGGCAGGCGTGGGCTGTTCTGGTCAGGGTGGATCACTGCCTAGCAATGGTGCTCAGCAGAACTTTTCTGCCATGCTGGAATGTTCTACAATCTGAGTCCTTGATTGATAGCCACTAGCTACATGTGGCTTACTGAGCTCATGAAATATAGATAGAGTGACTGAAAACAGGTATTTTTAAATTCAAGTGTAGTAGGCACATGTGGCTGAAGGCCAGTAGACAGCACAGGTAAGTCACATGACATTTGCTGAATTTAATGGAAGTTACTGAGAAATAACCTTCTTTTGAGCTATTTAACTGGGTAACTTAATTTCTCAAATGCCTGTAAAGTTAGTTCGTGAAGGCTAAAAAAAAGAGATTCAATATTTGCCTTAATTTTCCACAAAAAATTAGGGAGAGGTATTATTAATGTCTGGGCAGCATGCAGAAGTGTCACACGTGTGGATGGCATTTATCATGTGTGCAACAGGAAAGAGATTAAGTATGACCATCCTTATTATGTTACCATAATGACACTTTCATTTTACTTAAGCCAATGAATAATTATCCTTCCAACAAAATCACAAGCCCATAAATGATCTTGCTAATGCTTTGCTTCCTTATATTAATACTTTGATCTCTATCTTTGGGTATGTTTCCATAATCTATATACATCTACATTTAGTCCATGAGTGTATTTGTTCATGGACAGAAGCGCATGTGTTCTATGTTTGAGGTCTGCCCAGAAAGTTGGGAAACTGATTAGTAGTTGGGTTTATGGAGTCATTATCATGGCTTTACTGTCCATCTCATACCTTGAGTATGAATGACTATGGACCCTCTGCTGAGAGAAACGTAGAAATAGCAATCACATAATAGTGTCAATATAACACAGTGATTAATGTTTTACTGAGCAGGTTCTGGAATTTGGCTGGCTTTGAATTCCAGGTCAGCCACCTGCCTCTCTGTGTGACCTTAGGCAAGTTACTTAACCTCTCTGTTTCCTGTCTTCAACCAAATGAGAAATAGGACTACTACACAGGGTTCTACCTGGGAAAACTGTTAAAAGTGGATTAAAATTAAATGGAGTGACACCTGTGACACTAAATTAGTGTTAGGCAAAATGTGAGCACCCAACAATGTTAACTAATATTGTCACTGTTGTTACAATACTAACTTCTCCACAATGCTTTTCAGGTTACAAAATATTCCACAGCTTCTATCTCTTGTTAACCTGCAACAATCCAGGGAAGTAGGAAAGGCACATTACACTGTGTTCTCCAGCTGCAGACAGGCGAATCTCGTCTCCAGATTAGCTGCCTATTGTGTGCCCCAGGGCCACACAATAAACTGCCCAAAACGTCCATCACCAATGGCCTTCAATGCCTGGGCTCAGCCAAACACCTAAACACAGCTTAACTGAGGCCACTGCCAGCACAGTGCCAAGGACAGACCAGTCCGAAATCCTACGATAGGCCAGAATTTACTTTAGTTTCCTGCAAGGGAGGGGTCATGATCACTATCTTACAGGGGGACACCTAAGATCAAAGCGGGCACCCAAGGCATGGTGGCCAAGCTGAGGTCCAATGTACACCTCTCTGGCTCTAAAACCTAGCTGTTTCCACTCCACTAAAGTGCTTTGGTAACTTGAGCCCCATGGAGAGTTGGGATGTTTCCCTTAAACCAGGGTGTGCCCTGGACACACATACCAACAGGGCTGTACTTTCCCCCTAATTTCAACTACAACTGACTAGTTACGGGGTCTAAGTTTTAGGCAGGAGTGCTGGCTGGTGTTCCGGCCACCCTCCAGAGATCAGGTTCCTCACCTGAGACGCTCTACACAATGTCTATCTAAAAACAAAAATGAGAGTTGCAGGCCACCATGAAATCAGTGTAGTAGCCGGCCTAAACAGTTTCCAGAGAGAACAAAGGAAATGTGTTTCCTGCACAAAGAAGCCTTGCCACAAACAGGGTAATTTCGTTTTAACTTTTCACTGACAAAGAAGAAGATTCAAATCTGTCTGCCATCTGCAACTGCTCATTTAGTAAGCAGCACTAACAAGTAGTCTGGTCCTCAGTTTGGTGAACACCAGAAGCATCAGAACAATCTTTTACCTAAAGAACAAAAAGCATTCTGTGACGGAAATGCTTTCTCTCTTGTTGTTAATAAACCCCTGGCCACTGACCATTTCCTCCCAGAACCAGCTAGGTCCTCTACACTCAAAGCTTGGTGTGACCCCTGAAGGTTCCAGACTGGTCCTTCCTCTCAGAGAACACTGGGACTCATCACCTGCTCTGGGTCTTTCGGGTCTGCTTCTTCTGGGATAGTCTGTGTTTCAAAGGGGCAGCTGCACAACCACTGGGCAGCAGGCAGGTGCGCACTGACCTTGAATGTCAGACAGAGAGGTGTCCTCTGCAGTTAAACCAAGACACCAGTGTTGGCTTCAGTCTCTCACTCTGTGCTTTAGCTGTGGCAGATTTTTCACCCTTTTTAAACTTCTTCTCTAGATTACAAATGTTGAAATGGCAAACTGGGGAGTTAGAGGTGAGGTATAATCTGGCTTGAGAGAACAAAATTTCAGTTCCACTGAATCCACCTCTAGCTCTGTGTCCCTGAACAAACTATGTCCTCCAATAGTGAAATTGGTGGAAATGATGATGATGATGGTGACACGCCAATGATGGCATAATAATGACAGTGATAATAGATAATACCTAAATGGTATTTATTATCACAGCTGGTATTGTTATAAACATTTACACGTGAGGAACCTAAGGCACAGAGAAGGTAAGAAAGCTGCCAAACATCACACAGTAAGTAAGTAGGAGTGAGATTTAAAACAAATAAGGGGGCCTGGGGGTCACAGTATATGGCACACCTCTTGAGCGAGGACACAATTATAAGAGGGACTGCCTAACAAATGCAATCAGGGTAACCTAATTCTCTGTACCCTCAATGAATCCCAAACAATTGAATAAACATCAGATTGCCTCCAGAGTCCATATTCTAGGACAGAAGGTTTTAAACTTTTTTTTTTTTTTTTGAGACACAGTCTCACTATGTTGCCCTCAATAGAGCGCTATAGCATCACAGCTCACAGCAACCTCAAACTCTTGGGCTTAAGAAATTCTCTTGCCTCAGCTTCCCAAGCTGGGACCACAGGCACCCACCACAACACCCAGCTACTTTTTGTTGTTGTTGCTGCAGTTGTCACTGTTGTTTAACAGACCTGGGCCGGGTTAGAACCTGACAGACCCAGTGTATGTGGCCGGCGCCCTAACCACTCAGATATGGGTGCCAAGCCAAAAGGTTTTAAACTTTTTGTTCTCAGGTTCCCTGTATAATCTTTAAAATACTGAGGATCCCAAAGAGAAAATTTTTAAGTATTTATTAATTTATTTAAAAAATTAAAAAATACAATGAGCATTTTTTCACTTTTTCACGTGTTTGTTGGCCACTCACCTGTCATCTTCAGAGAAGTTTCTGTTCAAGTTTCTTGCCCACAAAGAAATGGGGTTGTTTTTCTTATTAATTAATTTGAGTTATCTGTAGATTCTACTTATCAGACCTTTGTCATAATCACAACAAGCAAAAATCTTTTCCTGTTCCGAAGGCTGTCTGTTTGCCTTAGTTGTAGTGCCCTTAGCAGTGCCGAAAATTTGTAGCTTGATCAAATCACAGTAATTTATTTTTGGTGTTGCTGCAATTGCCGGGGGATCTTCCTCATAAAATATTTTCCCAGGCTAATATCGTCAAGTGTTTTCCCTGCACTCTCTTATAATATTTTTATAGCTTCATGTCTTAAATTTAAATATTTTATCCAATGAGAATCAATTT